CCCCCGTTTCGATCACGATCACGAATTTTTATTTATTTTTATTTTTTTGTGGGGGGTGGAAAAAAAAGATTTGTAAAACTTTTTTTTTTATTAAATAACATTTGAAAAATCTTTTTAAAATGAACATCAAAGAACAATATTAACTATGCAAATTATTAACAATATAAATAGCCATGTATAAAATAAATAAATAGCCAAAGCTATATCACTTCTGTTTTCTTTGTAACAAAATACTGTTGAAAAACCAAACAGAACTGAACTCCTTTGTGTAGATGGTTCAAGCATGTTGAAAATTATTTTTCAATCAAGTTCTCTGGCATAGAAAAAGTAAATTAAATAGCTACTAGGGATGCTCATTTCATTAATTTTGCTAACCGACAACCGCCGCTCATTAATCGGTTATTAACGGTTAACTGTTCAGATTACTATTAATTTTATATTAAATAAATTGACGTGTCTATTTTGTGTCTGACACATTAAATATTGCATTTTAAAATACTGATTTATTTTTATATGCTAGCATATTAATAACAGAACAGAACAACAGAGCATCTTCACGCACCTGCAGTGTTTAGCACAGAAGAGCAGAATAATCTAAATAAAATGAATAAAATAAATAGGACTGCCCTAAATTATTTTCACTTCAATAATTAATTTATATTACAAAACGAAAATACTGACTGATTCTTCTTAATAACCGGCATAGGCTTTTTTTTCCAATCATGTTTTTTCTTCCGTCAAATAAAAATAGCTGACTTCCTCAAATTGCCCGCTCCACGGAAAATATGCATTTATTGGCAAATGTGTCTGTAGGCACGGGTTATCCGTTATCGTCCCGCAAATTAAGTATGCCTTGCAGTTAAACAAGGGGCCGAAAATAAGGCGCATCTCACTGCTTTTATGTTGACAGGGAAAAAAGAAGAGGCGCCGTCCTCTTATGAAACGACTGAATCAGCTGATTGTGTAAAAGTGTTGCTGTCTGTGTTGTTACAATTGTAATATTTAATACTGTTGTAATGGTCAAGATTTGTACATTCATACAGCTCTGGATAACTTAAAACAGCGATTGGACCTTCAGAGCGGCATTAATGCGTCCTAAAGTAAAGCGAAACGGCTATAAACTCCAGCAAGATAGAGCGATTATATGCAGAGCCATATACCTTTATCTCTAAATAAAGTATAACTATAGAAACTGTGTTCATCTTAACTGAAAGCTTCGTCGAGTTTCCTGACCTCACGCATCGCGCACCTGTCAGTCAGCACTCTCAAAGGTTCAAACAGAAATCGCACAGCACGGTTACAGAAAAGTGCATGTGTCAAGTCAAGGAAACCAAACTCGTTTGATTTAAGGGAGTTGAAAATTCTTCAGAAACACCATCATGTCAACATCGCAGTGAAAAAACGTGACAACTTTCCTTACTCTGCGGAGTCGGGGCATCTGGTGAACGCCCATCCCTCTCTCCGCAGTCACATTAACAGTGTGAGCAAAGCATGGTAGCGGTGAAAACCCGGCCGCTTTGACAGCATTGGCAATGTCTCTGGCGTTGTCTGTTGTCAAGCGGGGTTAAGTTGGTTTTGTTTTTGATATTCCTGACACATTCAGAAGGTCCCTTCCTAAGAGCTCTGTGCGAGCTCTCCCGCGGCTAAACGCATATTACGAGGGCTTAAACGGAGCAGTGCTCGAAATGTCGAACGAAAAAAAGTGTTTCCTCACGTTCTTCTTCAACTACCTGAACTTTTGCAGGCACACGTGATGTAATTGGAAAGGCAGTCACGGGGTGTGTCGCGATTCTCCCTTATCACACCGCGACACAGGATCGTAGATCTGAGTTTCGCGATTTCGATTTCATATCGTGTATCGTTACAGCCCTAATATATACATACCTATATATAGTATAATTTGTAAATGCAGCAAGGTTATGGTGTTAATATGGTTAAATGGTTAATATGGTATAAATATTTGGACAGACACAATTCCCACATTTTTGGCTCAATACACCAACATAATCGCTTTGAATTTATTAAATAAATACTTTAAATGTGCTTTAACTGCAGACTGTCAGCTTTAATTTGAGGGTACTTACATCCAAATCAGGTGAACGCTGTAGGAATTACAACAATTTGCATATTTGCTTCCCACTTGTTAAGGGACCAAAAGTAATTGAACACTTGACTTCCAAGCTGTTCCATGGCCAGGTGTGTGTTATTCCATCAGTATCCTAATAATAATATCCCTAAGAGTTCATTTCAAGTGTGCTGTTTGCATTTGGTTAAATAAGATTTTTCAGTTATATTTTTAATAAATAATTTAAAATTCTTAATATAACAGTTTAAAAAAAAACTTATATTGCATTACTGTTTAACAGGGCTAATAATATCAACATTAGCAGATTTTAAATATTATTCCAGCCACGTTTAAAGAAATATGATTTTACCCAATAGTATATATAAGAAATAATTTACTAATATAGAAATTCCTTGCTCTGTAAAACACACTAGTCCTTTAATTTGTTATATCAAAGATGTGGAATTAACAGAGGAAGAAGTTGATGAACAGTTTTTGTGTGGACGATGAAGTTCCAGTGTTAAAATTCTGTATTGATACACTCATATATATATATATATATATATATAGATAGATAGATAGATAGATAGATAGATAGATAGATAGATAGATAGATAGATAGATAGATAGACAGATAGATAGATAGATAGAACTATTTGTAAATGCAGCAAAGTTATAATGTTAATATGGTTAATAAGGTTAATATATATCCAGTTAGGTCCATAAATATTTGGACAGACACAATCCCCACATTTTTGGCTCGATACACCAACGCAATCGTTTTGAAATTAAATGAATGCTTTAAATGTGCTTTTACTGCAGACTGTCAGCTTTAATTTGAGGGTACTTGCATCCAAATCAGCTGAACGCTGTAGGAATTACAACAGTTTGCATATTTGCTTCCCACTTGTTAAGGGACCAAAAGTAATTGCTTCTAAGCTGTTCCATGGCCAGGTGCGTGATATTCCCTCAGTACCCCAAAAATAATATCCCTAAGAGTTTGTTTCAAGTTTGCATTTGGAATCTGTCATTGTCAACTCTTAGAATGAGATCCAAAGAGCTTCCACTATCAGTCAAGCAAGCCATCGTAAGGCTAAAAAACAAAACAAACTCATTAGAGAGAGAGAAAGAGAGAGAGAGAGAGAGAACATCAGGTGTGGAAATGTTTGGAGCATTCTTTAAAAGAAAGAGTGCACCAGAGAGCTCAGCAACACCAGAAGAGCCGGAAGACCACGGAAACAACTGGTGTGGACGGCTGAAGAATTCTTTCCCTGGTGAAGAAAACACCCTTCACAACAGTTGACCAGATCAAGAACACTCTCCAGAAGGCAGGTGTATCAGAGTCAACAATCAAGAGAAGACCACACCGGAGCGAATGCAGAGGGTTCACCACAAGATGTAAACCATTGGCGAGCCTCAAAAACAGGAAGGCCAGATTAGAGTTCTGAAAAAGCCTTCACAGTGCTGGAACAACATGCTGTGGACAGATGAGATCCAGATCAACTTATATCAGAGTGATGGAGAAGGAACGGATCTGCTCATGATCCTAAGAGCAGTGAAGCATGGTGGTGGTAGTGTCATGGTGTAAGCATGTATGGCTGTCAGTGGAACTGGTTCACCTGTATTTATTGATGATGTGGTGCTGACTGAAGCAGCAGGATGAATTCTGCAGTGTTTCAGGCAACATTTTCTGCTCATATTCAGCCAAATGCTTCAGAACTCATTGGACGGCGCTTCACAGTGCAGGTGGAGAACGTCCTAAAGCGTACTGCAAAAGCAACCAGAGCTTTTGAAGGGAAAGAAGTGAAATGTTTCGCAATGGCCTAGTCAGTCACCTGCCCTGAATCCGATTGAGCCTGCATTTCTTGAAACCCAGCGTCTGCTGATGTCTATAGCCCCTTTCACACATACAGACCTTTCCGGAAAATTGCCGGCAATTTTCCGGAAAGGTTGTATGTGTGAACAGGTCCTTTTTGAAAATACCGGTAAATTCGTTCTGGCTATTTTCCGGAAAGAGAAGTTGTAACATTACCAGCAATTTGCCGGAATGCTGCGCTGTGTGAATGCAGAAGGAAGATTGCCGGAATAAGCGCGTGCACGTCTAGAACGTGCTGACGTGAGACGTCTGCTTTAGCCAATCACAACAGTCAGGCGCATTTACGTCCGCGCGATTTATGAGAATAAAAGCCTTTGAATATTTTTCCAGACACATTTAGCTGCTAGAAGTTAGTCAGATCACGTTTATATGTTCTTCTTAATGCCAACTGTGTAAATAATCATCGATGAGATGCTTATGATAAGCCGTTGTTTGTTTACCTTCAAGCTTTGCGTGTGCCTGTGAAACAGCCTGTGAGCGACTGCACACGCACATATTATGAACATCTCGACATGCGAAAGTGATCCTGCGAAAGTAGTTCACAATATTGATCATCTACAGAGTTTGTAATTTAGTCAAATGTTTACAAACACAAGCGCAGCCGTTTAAAGCTCATTTGTGGTGTATGATGTCAGAATTTACCGGTATTTTGGAATGGATGTGTGAATGCTCTTTAACGGAAAACTTCCGTAACTACTCGCCAGTGTGAACAGCGCTTTTTTCAATATACCGGTAAAGTCGTTCCGGAAATTTTCCAGATATTTACCGGTATCACTGTGTGAAAGGGGCTTATGCGTTTCAGACTTCAGGCTGTAATCGAACTGCAAAGGAATTGCAACCAAGTATTAAATAGTTAAAGTTTGATTTATGATTATTACTTTGTCCAATTCATTTTGGTCCCTTAACAAGTGGGAGGCAGATACGCAAACTGCTGTAATTCCTAAAGCATTCACCTGATTTGATTGTAAATACCTTCAAATAAAAGCTGACAGTCTCCATTGTGTTGGTGTAGAGGCAAAATATGTTAGAATTGTGTCGATGTCCAAATATTTATGGACCTAACTGTATAAGAATGGCTTTAAAATGACATTAGCACAATTTAATTGACTGTTGAACTTTGACAGTCATTGGCTGCTAATGTGATTTCCCTATTCAGAATCTGCAAAGGATACCTTTCTGAAATTATATTATAAGGAGAAAGTCTGAATGCGTGACTATAAAACCCACTTCACCTAAATAGTAGTTGTTATTTGTTTATTACTACAGTTGTGTTGCCATAGCAACAACTATAGAATTATCTCAACAGACTAATTCAAGCATTTTACTACAGTACGGTTCAAAAACACGGCAGTATTTACTATAAACTACTACAGTATTTTAAATATTAATGAATTAATAAAATTAAATTTTAATGTGGGACTGCTTTACGCAGGACAGTTAGCATTAGATTAAACATACAGTTTGAAGTATTCAGGAAAAGGCTAAACGGTGCTGTATAATCTTAAAGGTGACCTTAAATGTACTTTACAACAAAACAAATAGTAAACAAATAGTAAAGAATCAGACTGTCAGTCAACATAAGGACTGCGACATGTCTGTAACATATGCTAACGGGTTCCCGTGGAAACAGCGCACGGTGATGTGCACAGAACAGCGCAAGTTACCTGAAGAAGGTTAGCAGGAAGGTTAGCAGGTGATGATAGGTGTAGAGGGGCCACATTATAAGGGTCTGGATGAAGAGGAGGAGGAAGAGGAGGGACTGGAGTCTTCAGGACACTCTACTGCACCGTAAACATCACCTACAAACGCCGCGGTAGATCTACACGTCGATTAATAAGTCTGCAGCGTATCATCTAGTCTTCACCTGGCGAACCTCATAACAAGCATCGATACTCACCCGGTTCAATCATTTACTGTGAAACAGAATTCTTTGACTGCAGGACAAGCGAACGCAACGTACACGCGGGTTAAAGAGCAAACACGGGCGTCATCCGGATGCTGCAGCTTTCAAAATAAAAGCCGATTCGTTTAAAGTGACACCATAGAGCTTAGAATGACCAAGCAGCGCCCAGCAGCAGCCCCGCGACTCTATGGAATCAGATTAGTCTCAAAAGAAATTCACGCAATAGACACGATGTACACATGCGCAGCCAAATTCACGTGCGTAAAATAGTTATTTATATTCACAAAAAAAATTTCAGGTGCTCAAAATAAAAATACATTTTCATAAAATACGTTTCACAAATGCAAAACACCATTTGCAAATGTATACAAGTGTACAAAAAGTTTTGAATGTTTAAAACTTGCGAGTTCATCCTGAATGAGAATAATCCTCTTTCACGTACGACTACCCCTGGATACGTGTGTGTGTGTTTTTTAGACTTTCCTGCCAGAGTCAGGACTACTCGTACCTTTCAGCCAATCAGATGAGAGCTGTAGTCAATAAAACCAACTCTGCGCTTCTTTTGCGCAGACTGTTCCTCTCCAGCATGGCGAAGGGAGAAAGCAGCAGTCGCACTTTTTTTTTATTTATTAATTTATTTGACCATATTTTACGCACGTGAATTTGGTTTTATGCACGTGAATTTGGCTACGCATGTGTACCTCGTGTCTTTTCTGACACTTTTCTTAAAGGGTCACAAAACATCAAAACACATGTGTTGAGCTGTTGACAGTGGTATATGTGTCCCACACTGCTAAAAACACTATTAGGACACCTATATTTCACTAAAAAGTGTAAATTGGTTGTTTTTGCGTTATTTCAAGCAAATTCGTACTTCCGGTTTGAAACGAATTTTTGAAGCTGCGTCACGGTCATGACATAATAGCGTGTATTCCAGCGTGCAGACTGGACGTCTGTGCCAGAGTGTGTCTTATTACGTCTTACAGTGTGCTGCATTAATGCATGAGTAAAGCTTGGTTCAAACCAATCAGCGTGCTCTATTGTGCAACTTCATTAATATTCATTACTGTCACAGTGTTTACACGACAGAGACGCCACGTTGTGTTGGCAAAACAAGCGTGAAGTGTTGCTTTTATAGTTTGCTGCAGTGAAGTTTTGTTTTCATTTTCTCTCTGTGAGAGCTCATCTGGATCACGTGTGGATTAACAGTGTACGCGACGCTCGACAACAATAACTTACGTGTCTAAGGAGGATTATTGTTTACCTGGGAGCTGTTCTCATCTGCAAACGCTGAGATCCGGATTCGCTTGTAGTCTCCTCTTAATAAAGACGCAGCTCTAGTTGCTGGTGATTGTCCTGCCTCTACAGATTTGGTAAGTGAGCGACCAGCGCTCTTTGATTATTCAGTATTTTCATATCAAACTAAGTTAACTATAGCACTGAGAGTAAACATGTTAGCACCACAACCAAACTTTAACCTCGTGTAGGATTTTCACCGCATTTAGTGACCGGAATAACACACGCGGCTTTCTGACACTACCTGCCGAGTGCATCTAAGTTTGCGGGAAATGCAGAGGTTTTTTTCTCTCATTCGCCGTGCGGTATCAAACATTGCATGAAAAATACACGCTTAGAGCAGCGCCTCGAATCAAATATCTCGTTTGTGGCGAGAGGCATGAATGAATTCCCTGAATGAAAGAGCCAAACTGCAGTTAAAGTCCAACATTTAATAATTTGGCAAATAATTCGACTACAGATGTCCATGTAGGTTAAACACCATCACTTTCTACTGTGTGTGTGTATTTTGACTCTGAAACTCGCGCGTGCACAAATAGACACTCCCACACCCTCCCACTTTAGTTCCTCCAACACTCCCCCCTAAACAGAGCTGGACACGCCCACTTTTCTGACTTTTTCCAAAGTAGAGGTGTGAAAACACCCTGCTGAAACGAGGGGCTTTCATGGCCCTTTAAGTCTATTCTGACTCCATACGATTCCGCCATTTTGGAGTGAAAGCGATCGGCCGTCTATTGGATCCTGTTGCTGTTGCGATGGCAAGCAGCTGCTTTGTTTTTTTTTTTTTATTTATTTTAAAAGCGCATTAAAGCTGAGGTACAACATGAAAGACGACAATACAACAATTACTGTCACAATCACCAGGGGCCTCATGTATCAATGCTGCGTACGCACAAAAACTTTGCGTACGCCAGGTTTCACGCTCAGAATCGCTCACGTTTGGATTTACTAACAATGAACTGAACGTGGGAATGTGCGCAGGTTCACGGCAGCTTTCTGGCTGGCGTACGCACATTTTTTGTGCGTGTCTGTTTTATTTCCATTGGCGACTCCTAGAGGCAGTTGTGTTAAATTCTTCTCTACAAAGTGTCTGAGCCTTGCAATGGCAGCTGTATGAGACGGGTTCATCTAGCAGGTATATAAGGTTTCCATACCACACAGTTGACCAGCTAAACATTAAAGCACAATTTGCAGCGGTCGCCTGTTTTCCCAATGTAATCTGAGCGATCTACTGCACGCACATTGCTATTAAGACACTATCTGAAGATGAATTTGCATGCGTGAATCAGAAACATTTCCATTCAATAAATGTGCAGATAAAATATGATGCTTATTGATACAAACTTATTGATGATTCCTACTTGTCTTTCTCGTGATAAATAGTTGGCAAAATCTGATATGTAGCGGGGAAAAAACAAGAAAGAGTTCATCAGACGCTGGATTTGAGCCGAGTTCATGCTCGAACGTGTCAATTCATGATTACATGCGTCTAACGAGTAGCGCCACTGAGACCGTTAAGCATCCTGCAACATTTTACAGATATAAACCACACTATTTCTTTTTTTTAAATGCACTCAGTGCGATGTTCAGACCCAACTGTGTTAACCGCATCAGCTAAACTCTCCCACTTTATTTTTTTCTTTTGTTGTTAATTCCGGAGAACAAACTTGGTAATAACACCGCTTTTCTCCGGTCTACCTCCGAAAGCAGCACCTCCAGTTCACATTCTGTTCAAAGTTTCTCTTCTTGCTTGCTTTTGCCTTTGCTTTTTCGTTGGGTTTTGCCATTAGCATAGTCATTAGCATATTCATACGGGGGCGGAGGCAGGGAGGGGTTTTGTGCTCGTGCATGTTGCGCTCAGTTTCACGTTCATTCAGATGTACAAAAGAATATGCGTGAGATTCGGCGTACGCAGTGTTTCATACATCTGAATTTTTTTCTGCGTACGCACATTTACAGCTTTGTGCGTACGCAATGTTTTAGTAAGATTTCCACGCAAGTCTTCGTACATGAGGCCCCAGCACTTTTAATAGTTTATTTTACAGTCTTATAATATGCTGTTGTTCTATGGCAACTTTCATTCCAAAATGGCCGTCGCGGCATCTAGCGACAGTTTCCCCAAATCGCACTAGAGTGTCTCTTTTGGCGAATCTATGCTCTTTGGTGACACTGTTCATATCTCTGTTTATGATATCGTAAATACGTGTTTATAATTTGACTAATTACCATACAATTGTTAGAGGAACTACTCTTGTAAATCGCACATTCTTGCAGTTTAACCAGCAGTTTTTTTTTGATACAAAGTCATTGAGAACACACATTCAATATGATTATGTATGCAAATGGATTGAACTCTAAAGTGAGAGAACATTTATATTGATAATACATGGTTTATTTTTCATGTTTTTTAATAAAAAAATGACATTTAATGCAGTACATTTTATTCAAATATAAAAATTAACTAAAAACCTAAATTTTTCAGATCTTACCTCTCTGACAGGTCATTCAGGGTGTCTTGGAGGGGAGAGGTGTCCAACCTACAGCATCTAAACACTGGGGTACCTCAAGGCTCTGTTCTTGGGCCACTTCTCTTCTCCATCTACACATCATCTCTAGGACCAGTCATCCAGAGACATGGATTCTCCTACCACTGCTATGCTGATGATACCCAGCTATACCTCTCTTTTCATCCTGATGATCCCTCGGTTCCAGCTCGTATCTCAGCCTGCCTGTTGGATATTTCACACTGGATGAAAGATCATCATCTTCAGCTGAACCTCGCAAAAACGGAAATGCTTGTAGTTTCTGCCAACCCGACTCTACACCATAACTTTTCAATCCAGATGGATGGGGCAACCATTACTGCATCCAAAATGGTGAAAAGCCTTGGAGTAACGATTGATGACCAACTGAACTTCTCTGACCATATTTCTAGAACTGCTCGATCGTGCAGATTCGCACTCTATAACATCAGAAAGATCCGACCCTTCTTATCTGAACATGCAGCTCAACTCCTTGTTCAAGCTCTTGTTCTCTCCAAACTGGATTACTGCAACTCTCTACTAGCCGGGCTTCCAGCTAACTCTATCAAGCCTCTTCAGCTGCTCCAGAACGCAGCAGCACGAGTGGTCTTCAATGAACCTAAACGAGCACATGTCACTCCGCTGCTCATCCGTTTGCACTGGCTGCCAGTTGCTGCTCGCATTAAATTCAAAGCTCTGATGTTTGCCTACAAAGTGACTTCTGGCCTAGCACCTTCTTATCTGCTCTCGCTTCTGCAGATCTATGTGCCCTCCAGAAACTTGCATTCTGTGAATGAACGTTGCCTCGTGGTTCCATCCCAAAGAGGGAAGAAATCACTTTCGCGAACGCTCACGCTCAATCTGCCCAGTTGGTGGAATGAACTCCCTAACTGCATCAGAACAGCAGAGTCACTCGCTATTTTCAAGAAACGACTAAAAACCCAACTATTTAGTCTCCACTTCACTTCCTAATCTGCAATTGCCTCTCTGAATATCACACTAACTGTACAAAAAAAAAAAAAAAAATATATATATATATACTAATACTACTAATACTTCCCTTCTTAGACTTTACAGACCTGAAACTTGTCTATAGCACTTATTCATTGTTGCTCTTAGTTGTGTAAATTGCTTCCTTGTCCTCATTTGTAAGTCGATTTGGATAAAAGCGTCTGCTAAATGACTATATGTAAATGTAAATAAATAAAACCTGAATCAGGTGAAACAAAGTAAAAATGAACATTTTTACACAAAAACGTTCATATAACTAACCCAGAGACAAACTGCTACGCTAACTCTACTGAACAATAAAAACAGCCTAGGCTGGTAGGCTGGTTTTAGACAGGTTTTGGCCTCTTTCAGGCTATTTTCCAGTCTGACCAGCTAAGACCAGGCTGGAAATGTCTAAAAATCCTCTAAAACCAGGCTGGTCAACCAGCTTAAGCTGGTTTAAGCAGTTTTTTTTCAGCAGGGATCCTTCTGAAAAATCCAGCTTAAACCAGCCTAGGCTGGTTTGCTGGTTTTAGCTGGTTGACCAGCCTGGTTTTAGAGGAGTTTTAGACATTTCCAGGCTGGTTTCCAGCCATTTCCAGCCTGGTTTTAGCTGGTCGGGCTGGAGAATGACCAGCCAAATTCAGCTAAAACCAGCTTGACCAGCCTGGTTTAAGCTGGATATAGCTGGTTTTGGCTGGATCCCAGCTTGGCTAGGCTGGTCAAGCTGGTTTTAGCTGGTCATCTCGCAGCCCGATCAGCTAAGACCAGGCTGGAAATGGCTGGAAACCAGCCTGGAAATGGCCAAAACCCCTCTAAAACCAGCCTGGTCGGCCAGCTAAAACCAGCCAACCAGCCTAGGCTGGTTTAAGCTGGATTTTTCAGCAGGGGACATATTTATTCAGCTATTTAATCATTAGCATCTTTTAACACTGACTGCTGAGCACAGTTTTCTGTCAGTTGAGGTGGTTTTAAAAGCTTGGCAGGTTGTGTTGTCTCTTGTTTAAAGACATGATGTTGAGATTAGGAGTAATAGTTTAGGATTCACAGCTAGCTTTGCTAACTCTTCATGTCCTTTAACATCGAATAACTGGTCGGTTTTCTTATTCAACAGATTCATGAACGCGTCACTGCTGTGTTGATCCTCGCTCTGACCTAATTCAATGTTTGTTTCGTTGTTGTGCTGAGATATGATTCTCTCACAACGTTCATGGCCCGTTTGAAGTTAGAAGCCATATAAAATACACTCCCCGGCCTCTTTATTAGGTACACCTTACTAGTACCAGGTTGGACCCTCCCTTTTGCCTTCAGAACTGCCTTAATCTCTTCGTGACGTAGATTCAACAAGCTACTGGAAATATTCCTGTGAGATTTTGCTCCATATTGACTTGATAGCATCACGCAGTCGCTGCAGATTTGTTGATTTTGAATCTCCCGTTACACCACATCCCAAATGGGGGTCCACTTGATTGATATCTGGTGACTGTGGAGGCCATTTGAGTACAGTGAACTCCTTGTCATGTTCTAGAAACCAGTCTGAGATGATTTACGCTTCATGACATTCTGCTGCTGTAGCCCATCCGATTCAAGGTTCAACATGTTGTGTACCCAATAAAGTGGCCGGTGAGTGTAAATGAGATTGGATAGGCTTTCATAAACACGCTACTTCTAAACCATTCAACGTCACTTAAATCCTCATTCTGATGCTCGCCTTGACCTGCAGCAGATCGTTTCTCTCATCCGACTGACTGATTAGACATTTGCGTTAACGAGCAGTTGGACAGGTGTACCTAATAAAGTGGCCGCCGAGTGTAGTCACACGTTTTGAATTTTTGAAATTGAACACGCTACACGCACTTACCGTCGCCGTAATCCAGTCGTATCATTTCACAAGTCATCTCCCTCAACCTCAAGGATAATAAAGTGACATCAGGAGGCAGTCAGTAAACAACACGCTAAACAGTCGAGTTCAACTCCGTTTGGGTGATACTATAAGACCCGTTTTAACCCAAACATCGAGTTGATCAGCTTTAAAGGAAATAGTAGTGATCATTTATTC